AGTCCGTCAATTTCTCTTTGCTGTGTTTTCAGCCAAATTGTCGTAAGAATAGGGATAAAGTTGCCACTTCGGCGCCTGAAGCTGCTGCTACTGCTACTGATAGTCCTGACGGTGAGTTTATCAGTTGTTCAGAGAAAGTTTTGCTGGCTTCAGAGAAACAGAAGATTGTTAAATGACGCTCCAAAATTATGTGATTTAATTCAGTCGTATCTCATCCACGACGTCTTGATGATCATTCGCTTTTTTCAATAGCATTTCTGTGATTTTCATAATTTTTAGCTGGATTACTTTTGTCATCATTATTGTTGATATTTTTAACGTCGTTGTTGTTGTTGTTTACAGCCGCTTACATACCACAAACACAGCCCACTCTAGTTGCAACTAAGGCAGTTGCAAAAGATCACGGAAAAATGGCATCAATACATCCGAATCGGCATCCAGTCCGCGATTTGTTCAGTGCTCATAACTTTGACGTTGACATTGATATTGCCTTACCTCGTAAGCGCTTTTATGTGATCCTTCTTTTCGCAGCATTTATGTCAAGTGGTCATCATCAGTAATGTGGTGGTATTTCAGTACTTTAGTCGAAAAATGTGCCCCTAAATCTATCGTCTGAATGCTGAAAGTTTATTCTTTTTTTAGCACCGCTCCAAAGCGCTTCTACGACTTCATCAGTGGGTTCAGTGGATGCAAGTTCGAGAAATAATTCAACTCTTTCGACAACCTCTTCATCGACGGTAATGAATAACAGTGGCGGATCACGACCGTTAAGTTTGGAGGATTATAAACGACGTAAGGGATTGATATAGTGAGTGATATGATGCTGTAGCAAAATAAAATAGTATTAATGAAATCAGAAGAAATTGACTACATTTGACGTATTTCATCCATTTTTATTTGATTTCAGTGATGACTCTGCTTTCTTTCTTTCCCTTGTAAGCGCGGTGGCTGTGTGTTCGGTCAATTATTTATCAGTTTTTTGTGTTTGTTTTTCTTTTTGAATGTATAAATTGATAACTCCTTTTTGAATGTATAACTGTGCAAAATACGGATTTATTTGGATGGTGTTTTTGGAAAAAGTTTGTAGT